TATAAAAACTCAGTAATGTAGAACTAAAAGGGAACTTTTTACTTTTTAAAAGAAACTACCAAAAATTTATAGCAAGTGAAATATTTAATGATGACATTGTAGAAACATTCCCAGTGAAATCAGGGGCAATGCAATGGGGATCACGATGCATTACAGGTTCTATGTCTTAGCCACTGCGCATGGACAAGAAAAAGAAAGAAGTATAAAGATGGCAACAGTAGAGCAAAGCTGTCATTTGAAGACAATATGGTCTTTCGAGAAAACCTAGAACAAGTATATCAGAAACCACTAGAACTAAAAAGAGTTTAGCAAAGTTTCTATCTAAACTTCAAAAATCCATTTGAAGTTTTATCTAAACTTCAAATGGATTTTTTTACACACAATAAAAAATCACAAACTGCAATTTAAAATCCTTCTGACAAGAGCAACAAAATTTAAAATAATGATAGTTAACAAAAATGTACAAGATCTTCATGGACACTGTTATAAAATTTTTCTAAAGAATGTAAGATCGCAATAAATGGAGCGATGTACTGTTTTCACTGTACTAGAACTTTTTAATGAACTTTGAAACATTCAAAAAGATCTCATCCAGTTTCCAGGCAAACCATTCCAGCCACATAATAACTCATCTAAAACAATGTATAACAGTTTTAAAAGCTCAAAGGATCTATAATCAATTAGTCAGTTGTCTCACATTATTTGAAAGTTTATATAATTTAGTTTAATTACTCATTTTTCAAAAATCTCTTTTTCTATGGTCTCCACTAGACAGAACCTTCTGCCATACACTATAGAAGTTTCAAGATCAAATATGAAATACGAACTTTTACTTCCATATATAAACTTTTCATTAACTTCAAAGAAATAAATTTTCCATCAACTCTTAGGAATGAATTCTGCTGACTAAAAAAAAAAAAAGATAAAGACATAGAACATATATTCAGGATTGCTTACACTATTTTGTGTTATCTAGACCCCTCCCCACCCTCTTGACCATCATTTGAATTATATTAGTTTGTGGTCATAAACACATCTGTTTAAAGGGAGGCCAAGTGTCAGACAAAATAGTATTCAAAATAGATCAATTCTGTCAGTTGTTAGCAGTTCGAAAAAAAATGAAATGGAAGAAAAAAGCATTACTAACAGAAATGAACAGGAAGAGTAGGAAAAGTATATGGAAATCTGTTTTATGTAAAACATTTTTGCTCTTCACAGTATAGATCAAACATACTTAGCTACATTTACTGTGCCTACTGAACAGCCATCTCCCCTTCTTTATTAGTAAGAAAAGCCTAGTGGTTTTTTCAGATATGAGTAATCAGGCGATTCAAGAGATGAAAGACTAGTCTTGACTAGTCTATGCTGATGATAGTAATTCCACTCATCTTGCCAGTAGTTGGTTTAGGAACAGATTTGCGATAGACAATGAACTGTAAAAGGAAGTCTGCTTAGGGCCCTTCTAGGGGAGCTTTCTTCCCCCTTAAAAAAGGGACAAGAGAAAGGGCATTGCCCCTTTTTGCCTCAGGAAGCCTGGAGTTGCAGCAGTCACCTTGTATCAAAGTGAAGTCAGTTTAAGAATAGCCAATACTTTAAGGATGGAAAGACAGAAGGATGGAATGAACCTCGATTCCCAATGACCTCGTTAAGCCAATATATTATCTACCCCAGAAATGGTCCTATCTCTAGGCTACTTCTTAAATGAGAAAATTATTATTTTCTGTTAGCATTTAAGCCATTTTGAGTTTGATTTTCCTGTTACTTGCAGTAAAAAATAAAAATAAAAAAAAAATTTAAACTGATTCTGTGCTAAGAACAGTACTGGCTAAATGAGCATTTATTATTTAAACCACTTAGAATCATTGCCTTGTGAAATCTAAATGTAAATGGTTTATGCTTTTGAAAGGAAGGCGTGAGGTATCTCAAGTATTTTCACTAATATAAGGGGACAAAGTTACATGCTATTTGGAGGTTTGGATTGAAAAATAATTTCTCTTTTGCTCATGGGAAGTGCAGCCTCTTACTCTGCGTTTTTGATGTCCGTGGCCCTATTATGTCTTTTTCCATCATCTCTAAAAAAGTATTTAACAGTACTGTTTAGATCAGCCCTTGGCAAAGTCAACCTTGGCGCTGCTTCAGGAAATCCATAAGATTAGGCTTCTTTTTTTCCTCTCATAGAAAACAGGATTTTGAAAATGTTTTTCCTTGGTGGTGTCCTATATCTCAAATAAGGCCTGACAGGGAGTATGACAGAACTCGCAAATGTTTTTCAAATTAATAAAAATGTGACTCTAAAGCTGAGCTCTGCATTCTGGCGGAGAATAGATTAAGTAATGTGTACAAATAGAAACTCAAAACACTTCAAAGCATGGCTTATATAAACCGTCATCACGGTGTATCAATTCATGAGTTCAGGGATTGCCAAAATTAATGATAATTTTTTCTCTCCTGATTTATGAGAGCTACCCTGGGACCTATGTTTCCATGTAAAGCAAATGCAGAATTTATTAATAATGTACGCAGCTCTGGGGCTCCTTCTCCATGGCACTGACGTTCTTGTCTAAAACCAGAACTGTTTCCTTTCTACTTTAATGGATTAGATTTGTTTAACTTACTTTCTGTAGTACTCAATCCAGCTCCATTGGCATATGGATGCTTAATGAATATTTGATGATGGTAACTACGACTGCACAGAAGATGCCTTAGTGCCCACAGGAACATGATAGAGTACTCTAAGCTATTTAACTCTAGTTATAAAATTATGCAATAACAGAAGGAGAGCATGCCTTTTCATACTAGTGTACTTATTAAGAAAACCCCAAATAGGAGAAAGGTGAAGGGACTGAGAAGTACAGATTGGTGGTTACAAAACAGTCCTGGGGATATAAAGTATAGCATAGAGAATATAGTCAATAATATTGTAGTAACTATGTATGGTGCCAGTTGGGTACTTAAAATATTGGGGGAACACTTTGTCAAATATATGATTGTCTAACTGCTATGCTGTACACCTGAAACTAACACAAAATAATATTGAATGTAAACTGTAATTGAAAATTATATACATATAAAAGACAACCCCAAATAAAAGGGAAATTAACATCTAAAAGGAATTAACATCTATTATCTACTATGTGCTGAAAACTTATATAACATCTCTATATACTATTTTATTTAATTTTAAGCATGACCCTATGGATTAGGTACTGGGATTCCCCTTTTCCTGAGTTGCATGGTGGGCCAATATTCTATGTACCAATAAGAAAAAACTCAGCCAATGAAATTATGACACACCATTTGTAAGATGTACCTTGATATCAGAGGTGTCAAAATGTAAAAAATAACAGGCATCCCAATAACAATAAAATATGATATTGATAAGAAAATTCACCAATGTCACAGAACCAGTTAGTAGCTGTGGCAAAGACAAGCTAGCTATTCACCAACACTCCTGCTCCCCCCCTTCCAAGTGTGGCGATCCTACTAAGAAATGGCTGTCCACCCAGAAACTACACTTCCCACCTTCCTGAATTCTGATCGACAGACTGAACACAACTGATGGAGACACTCGCAGGCCAAAGAGGTGAAGAAGTGTGAGAACTGTCTCCAAGCTCTCTCTTATCCTACCGACCATTTATGCTGATGCCCAGCATGATGTGAGGAACTGCCTGCTGAATACGACAAAGCCTCCCTGTCAGCCTGGGCTCCTGAAGGACTGCAGGGAGCAAAGCCCTGCCAGGACCCCCAGACCACTGTGCCAAATAGCGATGCCACGTCTGACTTGGCATGAGTAATAAATAAACTTTTATTTTGTTAAGCCACTGGCATACGGGGCTAGTTTGTTACATCAATTAGCATTACTCCAACACTGTAGTGGCAGAATTAGAATATGCATGTCAGGTTCCAAAGCCTGGGCTCATCCTGTGACACCAGGCAAATACCAGCCTCCCAAACACACAAACAAGAAACCAAAATATAACAGGACTGAGTGCTTCATTTTAAGCAGGTTTCATCACTTGGTTCGAAGGAATGGGCAGATATAAATAGATTTAAGAATGATATATTTCCGAGAGAAAGTCCAGACAGGGACAATTAAAGTTGTATGTGTGATAGCGCAGATGCGAGAAAAAACAAAAACAAATAAAGAATGAGGGAGTGATCTTCAGAGTGGGTAAAAGAGGCACTGACACGTATGCTCTCTCTTTGTCTTGTTTTGGTCTAATACAGTTTGGGTTCAGGTAAAGAAGATCCAGGCAGGTGTTACAGCCCTAGCCTACCCCATGGTCTAATATCTCGACAGAAAGATGGCTCTGTTCCCTGAATGGCCTTGAAGCCAAGGAAAGGGAGGAAGGAGCAGCTTGTCTGGCAATGGATGAAAGGGAAGGAAGGGCGGGGACAGAAAGTGGGAGAGGTCAGGAGCACGAGTTCCATATTCAAGACAAGACTGTGAACCTTCGCTCCACTATTCCTTATATTAGAGTCCGTGACTTTGGGCAATCATTTAACCTCTCTAAGGGTCAACTCTTTCATCTATGATGGTATGATAATAGAATGCCCTCCACAGGTTGTTACAGGAATTAAATGGGAAAATACATGTAAAAGGCATGTACCACTCGTGAGAGCACACACTGGACGCTAGTCACTGTCACACCTGCTGTTCTTATAAACCATTAGCTTCTTTTCCCACCTAACTGCACATGGCCAAGTGTGCTTTTAACACAAGTCTCTTCTACAGACAGAAAGTACAGTTCCTCGGGAGAAAGTCTGCCTTCAGCCGTGAAACCAACTGAGGTGAAGAGCCTGTGGAAGTTTCTATTTCAAGTTAAAAATAAACAATTTGTTAACATGCCCCGAGGGAGCGATGCGCAGAGGAAATATGAAGGTATGTTTGGTGTATGATATTTCCAACACCAGGTTCACTTTATTGCTTACATAAAAATAGCACTTTGTTATTTCACAATATTATAAGGAATAAAAAGGAAAACAGCATAAAAACTTACCCTCTGCTTTTCGTTTGAACCCTTTTTATTGTTCTCTTTCCTGCTCTCATCTTCATACACCAGGACGAAGTCGATTCTTCGCTGGCCATCATTAAAATAGAGTGAGTCAGGTTTCCCGTTAAATTCTTCCTGTGTGGGACGGAAAAACAAATGTTAATATGAATTTTTTTTGGGGGAAAATGCTATTTATTTATTTATTTATTTATTTATTTTTAATGTATCTTTATTGATTTCAGAGAGAGGAAAGGAGAGGGAGAGACAGAGATAGAAACATCAATGATGAGGGAGTCACTGATCAAGCCCGCAACCCGGGCATGTGCCCTGACTGGGAATCGAACCCCGACTGCCTGGATCTTAGGTCGACGCTCAACCACTGTGCCACGCCCAGCCGAGCAAAAATTGCTAATTTATACGTGTTCTATTGCATCGATGTGTTTATAGAGAAAGAGAAATACTTAATAGTTACTTGAAAAGGTCATGGTCAGCATGACCTTCCCAAGTTTATTCTTGGTGAAAGTAAGTCCTGCAACCGAGCAGTTTATCGTCCTTCTACAAGCGCACAGGGAAGTATCGGTCCTGTGTATGCAACATACTCGTCCCAGAATGACGCCCACTCAAACCGCAAAAAGAGTGTCACGTTTGGAAATGAACACAGTAACCAGAGATGCTTATCAGAAGGACTGAAGTTTTTAACAGGAAGAAAAATCTAAGACAAAGCACTGTTGAGAATCTCCTCCTTCCTATGTCTTATTTTCTAACTCTTCCATCATTTTTCCTGAACCTCTCTTGACCTCACCACTTCTAGAAGGTATCATTTTATAGCCTTAAGCAGTATCAGAACATGCTTCAATACACACAAAGCTATATAATGGTCTGTGGTCATTTGTTCCCAAATAAAAAAAAGATACCCTCTCACACCTGGGGAAAAACAAACAAAAAAACCCACGGCGACAACAAAATAAAAGAGCTTTTAATTTAGATCTTAAAAGCATTATGGGTTAAAAAAAAACAAAATTAAAACAATCTCTGTTACATATAGATTTGAATAGAATTGTTTTAAAGGGCGTGAGTTTGTGTTCTCACACAGCTCATCAGAATGCTTATGTTAGTTTTGTTAAGCTCAGGCTGCTTTGTAAGTAAGTAATATTTTTTTTTAAAAAATTTTAATTAAAAACTCCTGGGGAGATTGCAGTCATTTGGTAGAACCACTTAATCATTAAATGTGATTAATTCTGCTCTGCATTCAGCATCATTTAGTACAAAAATCACCTAATTGTATCACCACTTCCCCCTTTTCTTCACACTTTTGAGATGTACTTTTTGCTAAACATATTCAACCTGATACTTGTGATTCCTTTCCTTTTTTCCCAGCAGGGAGCAGGTAAAGGTTTATTAGTATTCAAAGCTCCTCCCATTTAGCAGGTTATTTCACCTGAACAGCCAATGCTGATATAACCTAGCTCAAAGCACCTTTATCTCAGCCTCATTTAACTGGGGATTCTAACCACAAACTGTGACTGTGTCTGAGACCTCTCCTAGCCAGGGCATTGAAGGGCCAGCAGAACAGATACATTGATGTCTTAGGCCACTATTCTTTTATTTGCAATTTCAGCTATTTAAAAAACCAATAAACTTTCTTTGAGAGCATTTAAAGCTACACAAAAATGCTAAGCCCTGTCTTTTTCATTTCAGCCACACAGTCCTCAACATCCCTTCAATTTCTCTTCCTTTCAATGAAGATGTTACCATTGATGACAACCATGGCAGCTGCTAGAGGAAAATTTTATGTAAAGGTAAAAAACAGTTTTCAGAATGGCAAACAGGAGGTGAGGTGAGGTGGAATACAGTCACGAAGACCTGCTCATCATCGCAGACGTCTGTCAAGTGTACAAAAGCAACTTGCTCTTTCCTGCTCACACTATGTTGACTTTGGTGGCATCCAGCAGGAGCTCTCTGAAGTTTAGTTCTGAAGAATTAGGCCTGGAATGAGAGCCACATGTGCACACGACTCCAGGCACTCTTGCTTGCATGGCCACTGGTTGGCTGCACAGGTTGGCAGCTAGCTCTCAGGTAATCTGGTCTGCACTCAGGTCTCTTTTATGTGACAGAGGACCATGGCCCTTTGTGTGGAGGAAAACCCCTATGGACTTGGCAATAGTTGTCTGTGAGAAATAACTAGGTCAAACTCTGATACGGTATTATTAGAATGCAGCGTCAGGGAAAGGGTGCCAATTTTCTACTGCTGTGACGTCCAGATTTCCCATCTCATGGCAGAAGGCATTCTACTAGGCAACTGGGAAGAAGAGAGAAACTAAATGCTGGGCTGGAAAGAATATGTAACAAACAAGGGAACTGGCCTAAATAAAGAAGGCTGATTTATAAACAAAAGCGAGCTGTTAAAAAAAAGCTGGATTTTTCAGTGGTAAGTTCTACTACAGGCCTAACTCAGCCCAACCAGACAGAAAGGACAGAAAACTAAAACAATAATTCCTTTTCTAAGGTTTTGCTTTATATGAACTAAAATCTTAATAATTTCTCAGGATAAATACTGAGGGTCTTCTTTAAATGACTGATTATTCAGAAATAGATTATTCAAGTTCTGGTCTCCATGCCTTCTCTTGGATCTACTCAAAATTTAATCTTTAGTCTTTTCTACCAAGTCAAATGGCACAAAGATGAAATACAAAAAACTCTAAAACCCAAGTCTTCCTGTTCAGCAGCTTAAATTTTAAAAATACTTGAAGAGAAGGCTTAAAATGTATCTGGTAAAATCATTTTAGAGATCAGAGCTTATGTATGGATACTGACTTTCCAGCTAGGAAATTTATCAATCCTTATACTCATCAGGGTAACTTACTAATTGTCACCCTGAGAGTCTTAGACAAATGTCTTCAATGCCAAGAAAGTCAACAGAGTCGCTAGCCATTAATACTTCTTCCTCCCTGTAAAAAGTACCAAGCAAATTTCTAATTACAGTTTGGAGTCTATAAGACATTACGTCTATTCACACCCATTGCCCTCTCTGGTACCAAGGAGACTGACTACATTCCACCAATCTAGCATTCATTTACCCATTCCTAGTGACCTGACCTAATCCTGTACTAGAGGTTAAAGGTTTCAGTGGTTAAAAGGCCTACCTATGTTCATCTGTCATTATATCACAATAAAGCAGAACAATGCTGCCCACCATCGCAGAATGATGACCTGGCCACTTCTGCCTCTGGCTGTTGGCACTGCCATTTCACACGTGGGATGAAGAGGAGACCTGCTTGGTCTGAGCAAGGGGAGACCTCAGAAGTAAGAGCTTAGCCAAGCAGTGTGGAAGAGAAAGAGAAGGGAGGTCACGTATGATTTCCCAAGTGATATTTTCCAGGCCTCCCTCCTCTCAGCTGGCTTCTCTCCTTTTATTTGCGGGCAGCTACTTCAACAGAAGAGCCAAAAAGGGCAGGATCCTCCTTAACCAAATCAGGATAAAAAATGCAAGCAGTAAAATTACTCTGCCCAGTGCTTTCAAGCTAGAGTTGTGAGTTTGAGAACATGGAAAAATATGATTTTTAGCTATTGGTAAAGCTGAGGGTTCTTATAACTTTTATTTAATATAGCTTTAAATTCTAGCTCTGGAAATAATCTCTTTTCCTCTCCCCCTCCCCACCCTTTTTCCTTTGGCAGGCCAATAAAAGCATCTTGACATAGGTGTGTTTTAGTTCCTGAGCCCCAAGGTGGAATAAGCTCCTGGGTGCTTTCCCATGAAACCAGACAGAGGGACCCCAGAACAGACCTCAGAGCTGTCCTCAAGACCTAAAAAAGTTATTCATCACCCTTCTCACCTCCACCAATCAGCTCCCAGCACAAACCCGAACCCCTCCCCACAGTGTCTCGTGACTTTGCCCCATATAATCTGCCTCTACACGCCATCAGGGAGTTTGGGCTTTTGCACAGAAGCCCCCCTGTTCTCCTGGTTGGTGCCATTTATAATAAAATAGGCAGTCTTTCTCCACGGCAGTTCTCGGCTGGAGGAGCTCTTCCTGTTCTGTAACACTGGCTGGAAGTACGTGTGGGTGCCAGTCCTGTCCCTGGAGAGGCTGCAATCTCTGTACTACAGGACAAGTGGCTGAGAAAGAATGTCCTAGAGCAACAGTTCTCAACCTTTTTCATCACATGCACACAAAAACTAATGATTAAAATTCTGCGGCACACTAAAAAAATATATTTTTTGCTGATCTGACAAAAAACATAGGCATAATTTTGATTTGTTCACACTGGACAGCTATTGTTGTGTTGGTTGTTGTCATTTTTTAATTTGACAATCTAAGGGAAAAGAGGACAATGCCCGTGAGTAAACAGTCAGGTACTGCATGTGTTAAAAATTCTTGCGGCACACCAGATGAAAATCGCTGACCTAGAGGACAGACAAGTTCAGAGATAAGCATTTTACAGTAATTACTTGGTAGGAAAATTTCTTGTAAGCAGTCTCTGAATGAAATAAGGCACCGGACTCCCCCTTGAACAGGATAGTATTCTTCAAATGTATGAAGGGCCACATGTCTATCTTCGGGGCAGAGAATGAAGGGCCAGAATTAGAGAGAAGCTGGGGAACAGCTGCCTGAGTGCCCCTGCTCTGTGGCGTTCAGGTCCGTTGTAGGTGAGCAGTCCATGACCAAGCACCCTCCTGAAATCCCAAGTGAGTCCATGAAATAACCTGCTGCTTAACATTCGTCCAGCAGTTCTCCGGGGTCTCACAGAACCCTGCTAAATCAAGATTGGAAGTTCTATTTCACCATATAGAGGCATCTACTCCTAGAGTTTAAAAGGCTGAGTTTAAATTATTTGTCTAAGATCTGGATTAAAAAGCTGTCAAACTGGGATCTTCGTTCAAATTCTTGTTTCTGTGTAAGGGTGTTGGAAATGTGCCTCGGGCAGCAGGAGATAATTACTGGATTGTATCTCTAGAATTTCCAAATAAGCTACTCACTGACTGTGAGACTGGAGAGCATTCCAGGACTATTTGGGTTAATGGTCTTGGCCTCTACACAAAGCAGGATGCAGGAAAGGTTTACTGTCTAACAATTAAGGAATTACACGATGGAAAACAATATCAGAACACAATTAAAGAGCAACTGATAGGTGCA